TCTGCATCCAAGGTCTGAAAGCATCATCAATATTCACACTGAAAATCAGGTGTTTTCATAGAACCTAGAACTATGGTAATTATATGATCATTTTTGTTCAATATTTCAAATAATGTTATTTCTGTTTTTTAGAATCTAGAGGCCAGATCACTGTGACTCAGACACCTGCAGTAAAAGCTGTTACTGTAGGAGAAACTGTGACCATAAGCTGTAAAACCAGCAGTCCTTAAATGAAGCTGTAAAACCAGCAGGACTCCAGAACGATTCACTGGAGGTGGATCTAGCTATGGGTCTGACTTCACTCTGACCATCAGTGAATCCAGGCTGAAGATGCAGGAGATTATTACTGTCAGACTGTTCACTATATCAGTAATAGCTGGGTGTTCACACAGTGATACAGAGCCGTACAAAAACCTCCCTCAGTCAGACTGCACAGTGACTGCACTGCTGCAGCTAGGACTCACTACAGCTGCTGAGGGGAAGTTCTATAAAGTTCATTTTCAGTGAGTGTAGCAGGGTTAAAATATACTTATAAAAGACATACAGAGATGGGAAAATCAAGCAGATTGCCAGGTATTTTTAGAAAAGCATCCAAAGATTTTTTAAAATTTTGTTTTTAGATTCAAACACAAGAAGAAGGATCGAAAACCAGAGCATACCCTGCTCCTCCAACCTGTCCACTTAAGTTACAGTTTTAGAACTTAACTGAACACGACGACTGTTGCATAAGCACACATGTTCATCACTCATCCATTACATAAGCACACATGTTCAAAAATATCCATCCATATTTTATAGCTGCTGATCCAGTGTAGGCACAAGGCCCTATTTTTTTTTTTTAACAAAGCCCTGTGTATGTCTTGTATAGAGGCTGCTGGGATTGCTGCACTGTGAGGGAGTGGTGTAGACGCTGTGTGCACTTGTGTTGTGCGCCTGTAGAAGCGGTTGATAGGAATTATTTGGAAGTATATTTGAGTGTTTGTGTGCCAGTAGGGTTACGTGGGTGGTTGTTGATACATTTTTCTTTTCAGTCGGTGTGAGTGCTTGTCTGTGTTTGTTAGTAAACAGTGCGAGTGTTACCGACAGCTGTGGGTGTCGCATGAGCAGCGTTTCTGTCCGCGTACCTTCGCATCAGACCCCCGCGAGGGGTAATATCTAATATCGTTAACGTTAACTCGGAAAAGAACAGCTGCTCCTGAGCTTTGCCCGGTCGCCAGTCGGGGCCCGAAGGACGTTTTCCACTTTTTCTCCCCAGTCCAGCAGTACCCTGCTATGAGAGGGTTTTTTTGTGGTTTTTTTGGCCTCCAAAAGAGCAACTTCGCTTTATTTTATTTAAACATGATTCAGTAGGAAGTTATTCTTGGGTAAGTAATTATTCATTTGGTTATTTTGAAAGTTTAATTTCTAAGGTTATCTCTGACCCTATCGGATACTTTAAAAAGTTCAGTTTTAACGCAAGTCTAAATTTAGTGTTTTATTGTACTCTGCATTTTATTATATTAAATATATGTTAATTAAATCAAGTAAAAGTTAAATACGCTATATGAAGATACTGGGCTGAGAATGAAGTTCAGAGAGGTCGAAAGAGCTGGGTGCTCTGCAAGATAAATTTATAGAAGTCGCAGATAAGCTTAGAAGCAGAACAGCTATGGAAGGAAAATTGGACATTGGTAGGCCTGAGAGGGGAGGCATAGTGGGTCTGTTATGTCTTAGGCTTTAGGCAAGAAGAGATTGTTTTGAATACTGTGTGACCTCGCTTCGTGATAGCTGCCTGCGGTTAGTTCCGCAGACCCAGTAGAGAGATCAGACCTTGGAGAGGCAGACAGCGGAGTAAAGGGGGGGAGAAACCACCTGCAGGAAGAGATTTGAAGCTGCCCCAACTGGTGCACAAAGAGTTATAACTTAATAAAATAGTCGCAGTAGACAATATACAATATGTTACGTGGTAGCGCAAATGTATAAGTAGTTGTTACATTAATCAAATTAATCATATGTTAACCATGTATTTGCAGTAATTCAATGACAATACATCAATGTATTAATCATTAATCAATGGAACACCCAAACATTAACAGTGNAGTAATAGCTGGGTGTTCACACAGTGATACAGAGCCGTACAGAAACCTCCCTCAGTCAGACTGCACAGTGACTGCACTGTTGCAGCTGGGACTCACTACAGGTGCTGAGAGGGAAGTTAAACCAGAGCTCTATAAAGTTGACTTTTCAGTGAGTGTAACAGGGTTGAAATATACAGTACCTATAAAAGACATACAGCGAATGGAAAATCACGAAGATTGCCAGGTATTTTTAGAAAAGTAACCAAAAATTAAAATTTTTTTTTTTAGACTCAAACCCAAGAAGGAGGATAGAAAACCAGAGCCTACCCTGCTCCTCCATTTAAGTTTACATTTTAAAACTTAACAGAACACAAAGGCTGTTGCATAAGCACACATGTCCATCACTCATCCACTACATAAGCACACATGTTCATAAATGTGTCCTATTCCCAAATGTCCATCCATATTTTATAACCCACAAGAATGCAAACCTTTCTTTTTGTTTAAATACAACCACGGAAAAAATTACCACAGCACAATTTTTGGAGGGTCTGAGCACTATCTCAATATATGGGTCTGCATCTGTGAATATTTTTTTTCTTTTTGCAAACTGCAGCCTAGTTCTTCTCTGTTTCTCATTTATGAAAAGCTTCTTTCTTGCTTTATGGTATTTCATCCTGCTTCTAGGAGCTTCGTACAAACTGTCCTAACTGTGCACTTCACACCTGCACTTAATGTTTCCCGTTCTTTTCGAAGGTCATTTGATGTCATCCTGCGATTCATGAGAAACTGTCGGATAAGTTAATGGGCATCTCTGGCATTAGAAAGTTGCTTCCACCCTCCACCTGGCTGGATTCTGGTCATTCCCAGTGTCTCCTAATTCGCCTTGTTCTAGGGTACTACTGTTTTAGAAATTTGGAACCAGGAAGCTACCTGCTGATCAGTATAGCCTTCTAGCAGCAGAAGAACGATTAGGTCAGGATGTAGAAATGCAAATTAGTTTAAAAATATAAAGTGTTCTCTTGATTTTTTCCATGGCTTTATGTAGTGACATCAACAGATCACACATTGCAGCATGTTTGTTCATCATTAATGAATCGTAACACATGTTTTATCTCAAGTAGCAACTACATTTGTTCATTTGACCATTTATACTTCAGTAGAAACTGAGTTATTAATAAATATTTGTGCCCCATCAAGTAAGGTATTATTGGTAACACTTTACTTGAGAGTTAACAAATAGTTACTCAGTTATTATTCAAGAACCAATCATGATCTAATATCATCCCTGCATGAAATACATGAAATGATTGATTAATTATGAACGAACATGGGATCAGTATGTTTGTGGTGCATTTCTCTTATAAGTAAGATACTTTGCATTATTTCAAACAGAAGTTTATAGAAAATAAAATGTTAATGATAAACAATATGATTATTATACTGTATAAAGTTGCATCACAATATGAAGTCGAGAATAATAATCA